CACACACACACACACACACACACTAGTATATATATATATATATATATATATATATATATATATATATATATATATATATATATATATATCGGTGTCCTTATCACATGATTCGGATATCCATCTACAAGGTACAAGTATAATCAAGAGGAAATATTGAGTGTATTTCATGCGCACGATATTCGAATGGTAAATGAGATTGAGAAAAGGCAAGCCACAGTAGAATACAATCGTCGAATTTACACATACTTATGCCTGTATACATGTACATATACATATACATACAATGACACCACCCTATAGTATAATAGTACATACATACATACGAACAAATAATAACACACATATAACATACATACATACATACATACATACATACATACATACATATATACATACATACATACATACAATATATACATATATACATATATATTCTACATACATACACACACACACCTACACACACACAAATACACCGAACACCTGTCTATCCCGGTATACACACCGTTCGTTGCGTCAGGTCTCCCAGGGCTGAGTTGCTGTGTTCATTCTCGCTGTCATTTGAAGACAACGAGTCGTCTGATTCGCTCAGATTGCCCAACGCCACAGCCACATTCGCCATTTCACGCTCAATATTTATATACTCACTACCACCAGACGTTGCTGATATATTCTGTGTCAAGGGGATGGGGGGATGTGCGTACAAGTGGTAGTTTAGTACTGCAGCCAGATGTCACTGATATATATATATATATATTAAATTATAGCCGATACATACACACACTAATACCCTCTATACTGATTTCGCCTCACCTTGCTGGTATCCGTGACGCTGATGCCAGGGGTAGGACTGGATTTGGGACTTCGGCGTATCTCACCTTTCATAGCTGTAGGGCTCCCCTTAGGCTTGTTTGTCCTAAAGATGTATAACAATTTTGGCAGAGAGATTTGTTGCAACAAGTGTCTATGAGCATAGACGGGTGGAGATTATTTGTATGTGAATACAAGTACTTTCATAAACACATAAACATATATACTCGTACATTACATTGCGAGATGTACCTACATAGCTGCCCTCACTCACACTTGCTATAGTTGACCTCACCAACACTGATATATCGATAGGCGACTGCTACTTTGCCTCACATTCTATGTGCAGGATTATCATTTTACAAACTAGCCTTTACACACTCACAGCACAAGATCGTACATTTCATGACAACAACGTAATATACAACTCACAGTATGCACTTAGAGGAGACATACTGAGGAGAGAGGTAATAGTCACAAGTACTAGAAGACTAAATAGTAAGGAGAGCTTGCAGAGGAAAAAAAGATGCGCACCCAAACTTCCACGACAACAGTATATATGAATATAATA